ACCCTTTAATCCCTTGGTTGGTTCCCCTGGTAACGAGCCCCCATCCTTAGGATCATTCCAAAAATCACTTCAGTAACATGAGCTCAGGTGTGGTTGAAAAAGACTTATTGGGAATAATGAGACACCTTCATCCCTCTCATCACTTAGGACATTTCAATGGTCCTTGGAGCACTGTGCCAGGAAAAGGGGGAAAGACCAAATATATATTTCTTCTTAGAAACCATAATCTCATACTTTCAAATCTATGATCCATCTTGAGTTAATTTTTGTATACCTTATCAGATGTAGGTCCAGGCTTAGTTTCTTCGAATATAAACAGAGTAAAAGTAAGTACCTGCATTGGTAGGATGGTTGTAAGAATCAGGTGAGTTCAGGGGTGCCTGGGTGGCTCAGGTGGTTAAGCATCCCTCTTGAGCTCAGGGTGGTGAGTTCAAGTCCTGCTTTGGGCTCCACACTGGACCTTAAAAAAAAGAAAGAATCAAATGAGTTCAATAAATGCAGCATGCTTGGAATAGCGCCTGGAGCATTGTAAACAAAATTAAAGTGTGGTGGTTGTTCCTATGTGATTGTTAAGAGGATGGAAATGGTATTTCACCCACTTTGCTAAAGAAGAATATAAACAGACATAGCCTTTCCTTGAAAACGGTACATTTTCTCAGATACTACCAGGTTCTAAGGTTTTCTTGACTTTGGATTTAAAAGAAATTATCAACATCTGTGGTTTCTTCTCTGACACCTTGGGACCCATAAAAAGAAATTAGCTAAAGTGGAAGTAAGGACAAAGAGTGGCTTTTGGTAGGGTACATTTCCCAATCCGGTTAGACTCACCCAGGGTCAGAGAACTCTGAATGATGGTAGACAATCCGCTGAATGTCAATAGTATTGGGAAAGATCTTCCCAGTAGTGTTATTTATGATCTATTTCCCAATTTAAGGCAGTTTTAAACAGACCCTTTTAGTTTTAAAAACTATTTATAAGGGCTCAAAACTGCCCCATGTTATAACACTGTTCATTTGTTTAAAGATTTTGATTTGACAAGAAGTCGAACCATGGCTACACAAGATTTGGGACATGTCATTGGTGATATCACGCAGCAGTGCCCCAGTGTTCTTATCAGGGAAACTGCTTTTCCATATTAAAAAAAGAAAACTTACAGATGCTTCAGATTGGAGTTTTAGAATAATTTTTGCAAATTTCAGAAATATTTATTCCCTCACCTAACTGTTCATCTGCCCATATTTATAGAGCAAACTCAAGGCTTCAAATTTGGGAACTGATAGCTCCTTCCATTAATCCATGGAATTTGGACCTACGTAGAAAGAAAAACTAGTGATAAGAAGAATGAAGACGAGGTTTATCCATCACCAACAAGTGATGCCTAATCAAGATGCACTGTAGATAAGCCGGTAGACAGAACTCTTGAGTTCTGTGCTGACCACAAGCTATCCCTGGGGTTACAGGAATCCTACAGTGTGCACAGGGCAGGGGACAGGGTGGAGAGAGGAGGAAGGAATTTGAACAAAAACTTCCTCATTTTAACTTTTAAACAAAGCTTAACAGATACATTGTTAGCAAATGCCTCAGTTTTTTAAATAGTATTTTCTCTTCAAAGTACAAAGAGCAATGAAAGAAAAGGAGGTGTTCCTTGGAGACATTCGACTTGTTAATGACTTGCCGAACTGGGTGAATGTCAGGGAAGCACGAAGTTCTCAGGTGCGTTTATCAATTCCACCACCCAGATCATGATGACCCAGACCTGCCCTAGGGATGAGCTGGAGATTCTGACTCACACAGTTCCATGCCAAGAAATGCACATGTGGTCCATTCACATAAGCCTCTCTGTCCTGGTTTTTCCTTAAGACTGGGAAAGATGCTTCTTTTTCTCACACTGAACATACATAGCAATCATTTCTTGACTGTCTTTCTGGAATCTCTTCTTGAATGTCCACAAATACTCTCTGAGTTAGGTCTTATTTTCATTGTCATTTTACAGAAGAGAAAGCATAGCAATAGAGAGAGGCCAAGTGACTCATCAAATGTCTCCCATCAGTTGGGACTTAGCCAGTGTGGGGGCCAAGGGCAGGTTGCCCCA